TGAGCTGAACTTTACACATGGAATTTAATGCCTGTGCTTGACAATAACGTTCATAGAGGACAGGATGCAGAAGTCCAGGGGTTTTCTGACTGACTGACTGGCTGATGGCAGTACTGGGGGGTGAACCCAGGGCCTTCCCTCAGAGCGGAACCCCCAGCCCTTTTCTATTTTTCATTCTTAGACCAGGTCTCACTAAATCACTAAGCTGTCCATGCTGGGTTTGGGTTTGGAGTCCTCTTGCCTCCACCCCTGGAGTGCTGGGATTATCTCCCACCATGCGGTTTTCTGGACTTTTTATAACCCGGAATCCTCATTACAGTCACTGAAACAAAGTCTGAGCCTTCGATGAGTCTTAAATGTTTCATTGAACATGGGCTCCCTGGCACAGTGTGTGTGCAAAGGCAGCACGGTCTGTGTCCATTGGTCACACGCAGGAGCCTGGCCATGTTGTGTGTGTTACTCATTCAAGCTTCAAACTCTATGCTGGAGATACTGTTATTATACATACAATGGGGGGATGGAACGACTTGGCCAAGACAAAACTAAGTAAGTGACAGAAACATGATTTGAACCCAAGCCGGACTCTTACCACACACAGCGACTGTAAACATTAGGTTTGTGTCATTAGTGAAAAACCAAGTGGCATTGGGTAGGTATGAAGAGCTCTTCTTTTTTTGCCAATGTAGCCTAAGACTTGAATTTCTATTGGATTGAAAAAATAGGCAGAAATAACTTAATGAGTAAGACATGGGTTTAATATAAACTCAAGGTTTTGTTCTACTCTTGGGAATTTACGTAATGCCTTAGAAAGCCACAGTAGCTGGTCTTAAACCTAAGCAAAAGGCACATTGCTGTTCTCGAAAGGATGCAAATGCAAGCTTTCTGTCTGGTGGTGAAATTGGAGATGGGCACAGACTCATCACGGGAAGCCCCCTTGCATCCAGGACTCCGCCTCAGCCGAGCACACAGAGCGCACAGAGTACTCTCGCCTCGGTGCACTGACAAGTGTACACCCCTGGGTCTTCTCCCACTGCTACTGCAATGCCTTCTTAGTCCCTGGGCAGTGCCTGCTGTGTGCATCCCTTGGGTGGGGTTGGCACAGGTACAGGACACATCTTGGTTGTGTCTTTCATCACCTTTTCTTTGCCTCTTCTCCCTCCCTCCATCTCTAATCCCCTTCCCCTTTGAGAATGATCTTCCTCCCTATTTCCTATTATCTATCCTTTATTTTGCTCTTTATTTATAATTTGGATTTCTCAAATAACAGAAACCATGTGATATTTGTGTATCTGCTTTATTTAGCTTCACATGATGGACTTAAGGTGCATCTACTTTTCTACAAATGACTCCATTTATCCTTCTTTATGGCAGAGTAATATTCCACTGTAAGTACCAAATTTTTTTCATGCATTCATTTATTAATGGACATATAGACACCCTCCAAAATTTAGCTTTTATGACTTGGGCTACCATTAGCATGGGAGATACTAAATATTTACCGGTTTATAGATGTTTTTGAGGAATTACTCAGGAAAATGAGAGTTCATAAGCCCTACCTCAGGAAATCTTAGCCAGAAGTTGCCAAAATATCTGTCCATGTTCATCATCAACATTTCTTGTGGCAGGGAGCTTGGGTTTTAATGCTGGCCAAATGGGAGGAGGTGTTCGGCACCATTCATTAAGAACAAAGGGCTCCAGGTGAATGGGGCGAGGTGGCGCCCACTTGTAAACCCAGCACTCTGGGAGGCTGATGCAGGAGGGTGAGTTTGAGCCTGCCTGGGCTGCTTAATGACTTGGCAAGACCCTGTCTCAAAATAAAAATTAATGCAAGGCTGGCGTGCAGCTCAGTGTGGAGATTCTGGGTCCAATCCTCAGTCCTGGGGTGGGGGTGGGGGAGAACAGTATTTTATCCCTCTTTTCAAAACGCTGTAAGCCTTAAGCCCTCTGCCAGGCGCTGTGTAAGGTGTCAGAGTGGCTCTCCCAAACACGGTCACAAACCCGCGGTGCGGGCGCCAGAGATGGAGCCACACCGAAGCACCGAGCTGCTGGGTCAGCGTCGCAGCTCACAGCGTTTCTTCCCTCGCCGTGACTTTCCCTTTTCTCACCCACCAAACAGCCGAACTGGGAACACATGCCTCCTCCGGGGTGTGGAGGGAGGCAGAGACTTCTGAGGCCCACACCCCTTGCTGTCTTTGTGAATTCCTTCCACTGCTTTGGCCTAAACACTTTCTCCTCTTCCTCCCATCGGTCTCTCCTTACAGATCTTCACTGCACAGGCTCAGCATCCTCAAGTTTTATGCTTCCCTTTCTTTCCTTTCTCCTCCTAAATCACGGCACACAGAACTGGAACCAAGCTCTTATGGGAAGAGACAACCACTGCTGGCAAGGGACGCTGAGGCATCCCTGCCATATTTCACTTGTGTATTTTAAATGCTTTGCTACAACCCCTGAAACAAGAGCACAAAATTCTGTGTGCTAGTGACCTGCACACACCAGCAAAGGCCAGCAGAGCTCCAAAGACAGAGCCACTGTCTTTGTGGTTAAGGAGAAGAAAACGCATGGGAAGTGATAAAGCACGGGACAGATGAGCCCACGTTTGAATTCTGCATTATCATTACTGGCTGCTTGACCTTGGGAGAGCTTCTTACCATCTCCAAGCCCCCTCTGACTATGCATTAGCTATTGCTGTTGCTGATGTTAGTATTTCAATTTCCAAACATTTAAAACTCTTTCTGCCTGTGTTTTAGGCTGTTCTTGCCTCTTAAAATGTGGAATTTAGGGATATGTTTCCTACGCTAGACTAGTCTAACCAAGACAGCAAAAGTGGGACCAAACTCTCCTTGTCCTGGAATCCACATCTATAAATACAGCACAGGAAAGCAGCAACAACCACACACACTGTTGACTGAGCTGAGATCAGTACCTGTAGGTCTTTTGCTGCAAACTGCAGAAATGTCTGGGCTGCCTGTGCCTCAGTGTGACTCCGTTGCAGCAAATGCAATGGAACTAACCAGAAAATAGGGATTACGTATGTCTCTTTCTCACCTCTCACACCTCCCAGCTCAGTCAGTCGCTGTAGGTCATTGGTCCTTGCAAGCAGAAGGGCGGCACGTTGGACACGCTGGGACAGAATGGAAGTGTGCTGGCAGGAACTACCGAGAAGCATCGTTCATGACTCTCAGCTAATACGTATGACCTCAGTAGAACCTGTCAGTAGACCCATCTGTCTCCCTTCAGCTGTCCCACTTCCATTTCTCCTACGCTTTGTAGGACACTCTTAGGGAATTCTGAGGTCAAGGACATGAGTCAGAACTGGGGAGAATCTTGCCTTTGTCATGGTTCTGCGTCTCCAAGTATGAGCTGCTTAACCTTGCTGAGTTTCTGCTCATCTGTAAAGCGTGAACAGTCCTTCCTGCTGGAATTGCCAGAGCTCGTGGCACAGAGCAAAGACTGCGCCCTAAGCGGCCATTCTAAAGGGTGGCTATATCGGTCACTTTCCCATCCATCACCAAGACAGAATACCCAAGAACCAAGCTGAAAAGAGTAGAGGGTTCAGTCCATGGTCAGGTGATTTCCTGGAAGAAATGGCAAAGTGGAGAGCACGGCAGAAGAAATCTGCTGGACGCCTCTTCTGATGCGGCCCTGCCTCTCCTCTCCAGTCTCCAAAGTGGTGTGCACCCTAGCTTTGCTAAACTGCCTGCAGATCCCCAAATATCCTTTGCTCTTTCGTACCACTATGCCTTACTAAGACTGTTCTCTTTCAAAAGCTATTCCAACCCCACTAGGAAGCTTCAGCTTACCCTTCACACTCCCTATGTTTCCGTTTCATGTGAAGCGTGTGTGGGAAGGCTGTTTTCCACTGACAGGACTAGGCATGCTCAGGGAGATATGGCCATGGACAGGTATTTCCCACAGATTTCTTGCACTTCGTTCACTTGCCTTTTGTGTGTATGAACACGAGGGCAAACAGACGTGGAGATGGTTGAGGGCCAACAAGCGGCAACACAGTCTGCCCAAGGGGCTGCAGACATGGCTTCTGCCGCTCCTCACTCGCTGACCTTCTGATGCATTTAGAAGCAGCACATGACACAGATTTACCTTCTTAATAACTTTAAAGTACAGGACAGTATCATTAATGACATGTACATTGTTGTGCAATGAACACACTGTGGCAGGACAAGCAGGAAGCAGCGAGCAGCAGCCTGCCTTCCTTCTGTATGGTTTACTCCATTCAGGCTACAAGCCTACTGACTGGTGTCACCCACACCCAGAGTGGGGCTTCCATATCCATACCCAGAACTATGCTAAACCCACTTGTTTATCACGTACCCTTAATACCAGCACCATACACCCAAATCCGGTGTCACACACCCGTGATCCAACCATCTCCCAATAGCCCCGCCTATGAGTACTTGAGGCTTTGGAGGGACATCTAGACACAAGCTATCAGAGGCTGATCAATCCTCTGGTTTGCCTAGAAAGAGGAACAGTGAGGGCTAGAGTAAACCAACTTCATAATACATGGTGGGGCTGGGAGATCGTGCCTGAGAGTGGGCAAGACAAAGACACTCCCGAGCTAGCCGTTAGTTATTACATATGCACATTAATTAGAGGGAGTATCAGGTGACTTAGGACTCAGAGGGTGGTGATAATCTTATGTTGATAAAGGCAGTAAGTAGAGCATTCTTATTATAAAAGTGGGACAAGATAGCAAGCTATTACTACTCAGTTCTCAAAGAACCAGGATGTTTTCAGCTGATGTACTCTTGCCCTTGAATGTCAGAATATCACAAGACCACTGAGGCCTCAACTTGTGACCAGAAGCAAAAGAGTTGTTTCCACATGCCACAGTCAGCTGGCAGGCAAGGTGACACTGGACCTTAGACAGCTATAGTCATTCTTTAATTATGAAGTGATTTCCCCCCAAAATTATGTAGAATGACTCCTGACAACAAACCATAGCAGTAATGAAATATTTTCATATTTTAATACTCCCTATTATTCTTTAAGGTAGAATAATGTTCCCTCATTTTCCACTGATCCGTTGGTAGATATTTAGGTTAGGTTCGTTCCTGGCTGTTGTGGACAAAGTTGTAATGAACACGTATCTGCACATATCTTTTGAAAGGCTGTTTTTACTCCTATTGAATGTATACTCAAATGTGACATTTGTGGGTTATTTGGTGGTTGTGTTTTTAGTTTTTTGAAGAGTCTTACAATGCTTTTGATAGTAACCAGGGTATTTCACAGTTCCAACAGTTACAATACACTTTTAGAATACTTCATTTCCGAATGTCTCCAGTGGTCATCATTAAGCTTATCAGCAACTGATTTCTGAAATATGAAAATCATGAAATGAGACCCACATCAAGCCTGGTCTTCTACATACGAAGAGCTAGATAAATATTTGTTTAAAAGGGCAAATTTAGCCAGGTGCAGTGGTGGAAACCTGTAATCCTTGCACTCTAGAAGGCGAAGGCAGAAGGATCACAAGTTTGAGTCCAACCCATACATATATATGGCTACAGACATAGCTCCGTGCAAAGGCACTGGTTCAATCCTTAGTACTGGAAAAGGGCAGCCAGGGTGGGGTTCACTGCCTTCTGACATTTTCTATGACTCAGTCTCTGACAAATGGCCCTGTGAGTCCATAGAACTAGGCACTGTTTAGAGGCCAAATGGCCTGAAGGCCATTTAATATAGCTCCATGATTTGATGGCTGTTACGTGATTTTTCCCCCAAAGTTGGGACAGGATCTGTCATGTAAGGGTACAAGATCCCAAAGATGAATGTAACTGTACTGTATACTTAAAAAGTACCAATAAACTCAATTTTAAAAATGTAAAGAAAGACAAAGTTGGGAAAGGAGATTTGAATTTAATAAAAAATTGTTTTTTAACTTCCCCTCAAATTTTAGTTTTTTCTAATATACAGGTACTACTCTTTACAGTCTGAAAATAATTGTCCTCGTAGAATATGAAAGCAAAAATGAACATAGGCTGTTGTTTAACTTGGACAGATTTGTCCTCCAAGGCTGGAGTTCGGAGGTTAGACACCTCCACATTTCTGACCTCCTTTAGAACTGCTTAGAAACCACTCCAAAGAGTCTGTCAAGGCCCCAGAAGCACAGTAACCAAGCAATACATCAGATTTGACTCTTAAAAAGCGAAATCGCTCAAAATCAAGACCACCTTGAAAGTACTGTTGGGAACGCCTACTTACTAAATAGTAACGGCCATCATGTGCCGGTGTCAGGTTACATCACACAGCAGCAGGGGGCATCACACTCATTCCCATTAACTAGGTTAGATTTGAGAGGCCAGTAACTTGTTTATGCAACACTGAAATCTGGACTGTAATCTACTAGACTAAAACCCAGGCTTTTAAAACCGTGTGCAAAATATGGTGATGGGGGAAATGATGGGCATTGACGAGGACTGGGTCAGAGCTTTTCAACAGCTGCCACCTTAGCTCACAAGGCAAGAGAATCCGTACGTGGAGAGGGGTCTGAGCGTACGTGAAGACGTGCTGTTATTCAAAATGTGTGCTGTAAATTCTGAAGCTTACACTAGATGTTAGGATGAAGGCGAGAAAAGGGAAGGAAAGAAAGGAAAGGAAGAAAGAGAACAAAAGCGAGAGAAAGGGGCTTAAAGGCAGAGACAGTCAGATAGTAGAAGTCAGAAGTCATGAATTCTGGTTCCGTTTCCACTTACTAACCAGTGGCCTTGGGGAAGCCTGTTTATTCTAGTTAAAATGGAGGGATGAGCAAGCAGCTCTCCGGGTTACTGTGAGAACCGAGTAAGTGAGCATTTACAAATGCTCTGGCGGTGCTGAGTTCTGTGTAACGTGGTGTAATCACACGGCCAGAGGAAGTCCCTTGCAGGTTGTTCACCTTCATCACATTATCCAGGTGATGCAGTGCAAAACTGTCCCCCAAGGTAACTAACCCAAGGCCCAAACCTACCTCGGAAGAACCAGAGGCTCCCATGACTGGTGAAAACGAAGAAGGGAAAGTGGCAGTTCTTTAAACCCTGTTCTCCCTGCCTTTCAGGTTCTCTCTCTCCTCCTCTGGCTCTTATTCTGATTCATTCAAGAAAGGCAGCATAAAAGCACCTTATTAGAGATTCTTATCCAGAAAATAGGAGCACTTATGGTCAACTGAAAGGGCAATGAAAGAGTCAAGAGGGAGGACAATGTCATACAAGTTAAAAAATCAACCAGCAGTTATGAGTAGCATCTATGTAAACCTGAACGACGAGAATTACGTTGAAACTGCTAGGTAGACGTTCTGAAACGGTGCCCTTGATCGCCTTCTTCTCAGGATTTCTGGACCGCGCTGGGGCAGTGTGCCTCAGAGGCGGAGCTGGATCTCTGTCCGTATCCCCGGACGAGGTTCCTGGCCAGCCCTGTCCTGTGCCACAGGCTGAGTCCACACGCGACCGCGCTATGATCCGCGCTCTTCGTGTGTGCCCAGATCCTCTTACCCTTCAGACTGCCGCTGCTCGGGGCAAATCCCCATCGCCACGTCTTTCCTAAGGTCAGGGGTGCTCGGCAGGGCCTGGCGCCCACCTCAGGCTCCGAGGATCCAGAGCCCTGGGGTCCGCTCTGCCGGGGACAGGGACTTCGTGCCGCTCTCAAGACCCAGGGACTCGGTGCCTTGGAGACACCAGGGTCAGACCTCGGAGCGCTGGCCTCTGGACCCAGCCTCTGTTCCTCGTCTGGGTCCTCACCTGGGGCCCCATCTCTGATCCCTCAGTCTCAGACCCAGGTCCCTGGTCCCCGTCTGATCCCTCAGTCTCCGACCCCCGACCCTGTGCCCTTCTGCTCCCCCCCCGGGGGGCGGAGGGCGGTGTAGACAGCGCGGGCGACC